GCATGCCAAACATACGAAGATTGCTGCTCAAGGTGTTCAGAAGACTCTGCATTTTGTCAGCATCCTCCCCTAACAGGACTATGTCATCTGCATATTCTAAGTCCATTAGATTATTCCCTGGTAACAAGTCGATTCCTAAGTCACTACGTTCAGTTAAGGATACTTCCATTAGCATATCTATGATGAAGTTAAACAGAAATGGGGAAAGTGGACATCCCTGTCGGACACCACTGGTTGTTACTAATTCAGATGACAATTCCCCATAAGCCCTTACACGACTACGTGAGTTTGAATAGAGTGCCTTGATTAGTGCAATGTACTTTCTTGGCACTCCCTTCACAGTCAGACATTGCCATAGTACTTTTCGGTCCACGGAGTCGAAGGCCGCCTTCAAGTCAAGAAATATGACAATTGTTGGACGCCGAAAAGTGTGTCTATGTTCTAGAATCTGTCGAAGAGTGAAGATATGATCTATGCACCCTCTACCTGGTCTAAAGCCTGCTTGATTTTCCCTTGTCTGTTCCTCCCGAGTTCTGCTTAGTCTATGCATGATTACTGAGCCTAGGATTTTAGAGACTATGTTCGTTAGGCTGATCCCCCTATGATTATCACACGAGGACTTGTTTCCCTTCTTGAATATCGGTATAATGAGTGACTTACCCCAGTCTGATGGTACTGTCTCTGATTCCCAGACTTTGCCTAGTACCTCAGTTAATCTACAAACTAGTATGTCACCCCCATATTTAAACACCTCCGGAATAATTCCGTCGGGTCCTGCCGCTTTGCCTCGTTTCAAATTACTGATAGCTTTTGTAACCTCACCTACAGACGGCGGACCAGTGTCTATATCCCATTCGGGTACGTGGTGGATGGCGGGGAGGTTCAGTGTGGCTGTAGGCAAGTTAAATTGTTCCTCAAAGTGTTCTTTCCAGCGTTCAAGGCGTCTATCCTGAGAGCTAATTAAGGAGCCATTTTTCTCAGAAATAGTCTCACTTATGAATTGCCTTTTCCCGCCCGATTCTGTGATGAGTCTAAAGAGTTGCCTAGTGTTGCCTATCGCCAATGCTTTTTCCATCTCTTTCGCCTTTGTCACCCACCACTGTTCACGGTCTTTGCGGAGACTTTTAGTAAGTTTCCTTTTGTGCAGCTTTCGCTCCTCATTGAATTCGGAGCTCGCCGGAATAAGTCTTCTAGCATCTATCAGTTCGGATGAGGCAGTCGAAATCCAGTGGTTTTTACTCACCTTTGGATTTGTCTTATTCACAGCTTTTACAGCTGTATCTATAGCTGACTGAATATTCTTCCAGGCTTCTCCAGGGTGAGCACAGCTGTCGGATTCAGATATGCGTTTAGCTAGTTCTTCCTCAAATAGGGATTTAGTTTCCTGATCGAGCTGGGGGCGTAATGGTTTTACCGCCAGCTGTTTCCTACGTCCGTTCAGTCGTAAGCATACACGAGCCCGGACTGAAGATTCTGTAGCAGTGTTTATTTTACAAGATGGGGTTGCTAGCCTCATGCCCAACCTTCCCTCTTTACCAGCATTATTTCTGGCTCAGCGAGGTAAAGGAGTGCGTTGGCGGCCGGGAATCGAACCCCGGACCATGTGCATGGTCGGCTAGCGTCCTAACCGCTATGCCACCGACGTTCAAAACATTTACCACTTTATTATTATTATTTGATCCACAAAATTATCGTCATTGGTTAAAAATTTTTTATATATAAGTCTATGTAAATTAGAGTAAAGCCTGAAGAAGATCTAATTGAAAACAACAATATTCTTCGCTTATATGTCTTGTTCTAATATTATAAATGGGAATATTTAAAGAATTGAAAGAGAAAGCAACAAAGATAGTTTTCTGTTAGGCAGATAATCTTACCTAAACTTTGAAAATAAAATTATGCCAGTTATATTGATCAGAGCAAAATGAGCTTGAGTAATAATAACAATAATAATAATAATAATAAGGCTTACTAATAAACCGGTTGCAACGAAGACAGCACTTCAAGCGAACATAGCGAAGACCCTACAAGTAACGCAGAGAAGCACTAATCTCATTCGAGGGAAGTCACTTCCTTCACTTATCTAGGTAGTATCACTTCAACTATAGGCATCAGCGACGATGAGGACATGTTAAAGGCAGTCAAGATCACAAAAGGCAAGGCAGATCTTCATTATTCTGAAACCAGTGTGGAAATCTCTACTACACTTAGTTGGCATAAAGAACATAAAGTAGGATGTTCAAAACTAATGTCAGGCCAGTCACTTCTTCTATATGGTTCAGAGATTTGGAGAACGGTGTCAAGAGAAGCGTTTCGAACAGGCTGTAGATTTTTATCAACAGCTATCTTCGTCCTATCGTACCCCAAATATTCAACAGCTGTACGACAACGGAACATGTCAAGTGTTTCACAACGGAAAACTCAGCGAGGCGTTTGGAGTAAATACAGGAGTCAGACAAGGGTGCTTATTATCTATCACCAATGATATTCCTAATTGTGGTGGACTGACTGAATTATGCGTCAGACAGTGGGATACGAGAAACGGGACAGGTATATCCTGGACCGACGTGAAGAACCTTGAAGACCTGGATTTCACATGTGGATGATTTATGTTTGATATCACAAAAATTGAAGACTTAAAAGCGAAAACCGACTAACTGGTTGAAGAAGCAGCCGGCGAAGATAGGACACTCTAGGTGAACATAGACAAGACCGAGGTTATGAAAATAACCAGCCAACCAACAACAACACCAGAAACATCCAGCGCCAATCACCATCAACGGGAGGGATTTGAAAGAGGTTACTTCATTCACTTATCTAGGTAGCATTGTCCCAACTACAGGAGGATGTCAAATCGAGCGAGAATCGGGAAAGCAAGAAACACATTCATCAACCTGAAACCAATCTGGAAATCTTCATCACTCAGCATCAACAACAAAATTCGGTCGGATTTCCAATACAAACAACGTCAAATCAGTCAGTTCTTCTATACGTATCGGATGAGAAACTTGGCGGGTCGCAAAGAATATTTCCAACAGGCTATCGCAGACCTTTATCAACAACTGTCTTCAGTGGATCTATACTGAAGATCTGATAAGATGACCAGGCCGGAATGAATCACTAACAAGAAACTATGGGAAGAAACAAAACAAGAACCAATCGCCACCCAACAAATATGCAGGAGAAACTGGAGGTGGATTGGAAACTAGCTGAGGAGGCCACTGGGTGACATCTCGCCCGCGTCAGGCCATTGCTCGAGTGGAACCAGGCCGAAAGGGAAGCGGCAAGTGGGAGGTGTCCAAGGGTGACATGGAGGAGATCGTGTGAAGAGGAGTTCAAACAGTATGGACTAACACGAATTTAGGTGAAAAGTACAGCAGAAGGAAGACAGAAGCAAGTGGAGATGTGCAGTTGAAACCCTATGTTCCACCAGGAACCAAAGGGAACAATAATAATAATGTCTTCGTCTTATACAGAAGATCAGATGGCCAACCAGAAGAGAACTAACAACAAGGAATTCTGGAACTGAACCAAGCACGAACCGATTGCTCAGCAGATATTTCGAAGAAAATGAAGATGGATGGTATATGCTCTAGGGAGACTGATATTGCGCACCATGCGGGGCCTCCAGTAGAACCGCGATGAGAAACGATGAGTTGGGTGTGGTGAGTCCAAGGATGACAGTGTATAGGAAATCGTGGAGCTAGCTAAAGAGAACTGCAGAGAACCAGATGAAATGGAGATGTTCTGTTGGAGGTTTATAGCTCCACTCGGAACTGGAGCCAACGACTATAATAACCATAATCACATAATAATATAAAGAAAGAATATTGACATAATGGTAGATAAATTGTTGTACATTAAACAATCCAGAATATTGGAAAGGCAAAAATTATAACATGCAGCTTGGGAGGTTCAAGAAGTACAAAAGGAGAGGGAGAGAAGGCAAATAAGCTACTATTACACACACACACACATTTCCCTTCAACTCATATTGACTGATCTCTGCGATGTAGTAAGCACTTTCATGTGTCTACTCCATAGTATTTGTGCTAGCAGTCATTCTATCAGGCTGATATGCAATCTGGCCACTATGCTATACGACTCATTATCGTGATGCACTTTGCACTTTGATGTTAGGTGATTGAAGGCAGACGGCAGGAAATTCAGAGCATAGATTTCGTGACTTTTGGTACTCAACATCAAGGCATATTTGCAACCTCAGCTCAGAGATTCAAACCAACGCCAACTAGTGCTTTGATCACAGACGTTACTACTACTGAATTCGAGGGGATATACCAGTTACTTCAAAGAGCGCAAATACGTCTTGTTGACAAGTACCAACCAATGGACACAATGGACCTGGGTCTAGGGAATTTTTCCAACAACTGCCTCTAATCACCACCTAACAGCAGTCAAGCAGAATCAATGGCAAACTACGTCTCCTAAGTCTCTGTACAGGAGTTGTCACTCCTCATGGAATCACCTCTGGCTGCATTAGAGGAACACCGGATAGACTCCGTTGACGTTGGCTAAGACCTCCTGCTCAACTGCCTGAAGAAACCAGATGCAGGGAAATTAGTGGTTTCTGGTAATCTTCATCCTAGGCTCCTCAAGGAGCTATTAACTCACACAGCCGGCCCTAAATGGAGTCTTATCGTGTGACTGGAAAGACGCCATAGTAACTATCATCCACGAGGGAGGATCGAGATGAAGCCCTTCAAACTACATGCATACTAGTCTCACCAGCACTTTAATCAAGACACTGGAAAGAATCATGAAGAAACACATCATGGTATACCTGGAAAACAACAGCTTGTTATCTAGAGAACAGCAAGGAAACCTCTTACACCTCTCAGATCTTCTGACTGCAAGAGAAACTTGGTCATATCAAGAGACAACAGAAGACCCACCGACGTCGTCTTCGGGGACTTCAGCAATGCCTTCGATTCAGTTCCTCACAAAGGATTGCATTAATAAAAAATAAAAACGTCAATTACCTGTAAAAGTAGCTGATATTTCAGTACACGCTGAACTGGCTTCAGCAAATAAGTAGCCAATGGAAGTTGATGTTGTAATTCCAACTGACAATTGATAAGGTATGTCCATAATTCTGTACGAGATTTCTGTTCCTCTTCGAGTAAATGAATACTTCTATATCACAAAATAAAAGAACAATTAATTATTAATACAGTGTTACTAAAGTACAACAAATGCATTTCATTTATTTTAAAAATATTATATATTAATTACACTTACGAAATGTACAACTCAAATTGCAAATTGAACTATAAGTGATTTCAATGCTGAGCTATGCCTCTGATAATATCTTCAGTCACTGAATAGCACAGTCTTTCAACTAAGATTCAGAAAGATATCATTCAGTCAACAAATGACACGCTAACACAAGTATATTTCATCGCAAGAAATCCAAAGGTTGGCAAACAGAATACATAGGGACAAGATGCCTAAGATATTATTAAGTCACCAAAGTCATTGTGTCAAGATGTCCCAAATGATCGTTGTCTGATTAGTAGTAGTGTTAACTGTCACACCTCTCTACTAGCACTTAATCACTTCATTTAATTCTAAAAAAAATTTAACTCTTTTGCGTTCCGTGTGAAACATATACGCTTTCACGCCTCAGCTTTGAAGTTTCAGTAGCAGTGGTGTTTCCTTTACGTAACGTGGTTGAGTTACTAGTCACATGTCAAACCTTCCCTTGTTATCTGTCATATTACCGGCTAAATAAGGTGTAGCCGTGCCTCGGCCAGGGATCGAACTCATAGTATGAGAGGCGGGGTTGGTAAGTGTTCGACCGATGCACAACACTCACATAACCCAGGTGGATGATTTTGATGTGGTTGTTTTCTTTGAGCTGGATGGTTGATTTGCGAAGCTTTCATCACCCTGCTGGGTGATATCTTTAGTGCATACTTCAGTTTGAAGTGAGCTTTTAGATTTCTCCACGAGTTTATTAATCATCTCTCCTGGTCAGTGACCTTGGATGTGATTGGTTGTTTTGGTGTGTTTTCATACCTTCTAGTCTACAAGGTGTATTGGAACTGATTGTTTCTTTGGCTTGAACTTTGACCCTTTGTGTATGAGGTTTCTTTCTTATCGGTTGATAAATTTTGTCTATTTCTTCAACTTCGCATACAAAGGGTCAAAGTTCAAGTCAAAGAAACAATCAGTTCCAATACACCTTGTAGACTAGAAGGTATGAAAACACACAAAAACAACCAATCACATCCAAGATCACTGACCAGGAGAGATGATTAATAAACTCGTGGAGAAATCTAAAAGCTCACTTCAAACTGAAGTATGCGCTGAAGATGTCACTCAGTAGGGTGATGAAAGCTTCGCAAATCAACTATCCAGCTCAGAGAACACAACCACATCAAAAAAACTCACATAATCACTCAGAAATAAAAACTTTTCAACCACTTCTAACAGTTCACTTGCCTAAGTGAGTATACGAGAAATCTCCTGTCAATTATTTCGAGAGAGCAAATCGAACTCCATACTTACTAATCACTCATTAATTTACTGCCAGCTAAGTAGGATACGAGTGCGTCGGTTGTTCAGTAGTTGAACACTGGTCAACCACGCTGGAAGTGGTCCATGGTTTGATTCCCGGCCGACGAATTCGAAAACATCATTTAGCCGATAGTAAGACCAGTAGATCGGGGAGGTTGGGTTAGAGACTAGCAAACCTACTTCGCAAAAGGCAGTAGACAAAATGGTTGAAATCCTATCTGAGTCTCACTACTCAGATTGCCAGATATTCACTGAATTACATTTTAAACGTAGGACTTTGTACTAAAAAGTAGAAGTACAAGTCAACAGATTTCATAAAAGCACACATAAATGGAGAGGAAAGAAATGCAAAGAATTCTAATGGATCTAGAAGATGACAGAGAGTGAATGCAATCGCGTCAAGAATCATCAGTCATTGATTGTTAACATCTAACCAGGCACTCTACACTTCTTTAAGTGGGTGGTGACGACCAACAGTCAAAGACTTCATAGATTGCTGTCATGTTTTGATTAGACCACTCACTCCTAACTCTTTGCTGACCACATCCTACGTCAGCTAACATTTCTCAACTGGGGAAGATGATGCTTGATAAAAAAAGCACACAGTAACAGAGTAATATTTACTGATGACGTTTCGAGCACACTTTATTGTCGCTCTTAAGTATACCACGGCACTACTCACACAACTTTCCAACCTCATTTCTATAATTCCATTATTTCTCATCTTTCAGTGTAAACGATAGTAGTATTTTCGATATCTCTAGTTTTATTATTGAGTCATTCCTATTGCACATGTTACGTATAGATTCGATGAACAAAGATTCAGTAATCAACCTCTCTCTCCATCTACTCATATTACTTTTTAGAAGTGTAACTCTTTCTCAGCCCATTGTGTGATTCTGTGTTAATGAATGGCATTGCAGTTGTTGAGTTCTTCTCTGAACTATTCATCTACGTGGAGTCAATCATTCTACAATTGGCTAAATTCGTACCCTCACAGTATCACTGACTGAATTCCCCGCCTCATCTAAATTGCTACGCCTAACCCCTTAGTGTCATTGACTAAATTGTAAGTATCACCTAAAATGAGAGATAGAACGCAGATATCTATCGTCAGTGACGATTATTCCCTTCAACCTCTCACTTTCAACGGTCGTATTTCACAGTCGTAGGGAAGAAGAAGAAGAAGAACAGAGTGGACTGCTAGGCGGCAGTACACACAGGTCGTTTGCTCGATTGTCGGATAAAACATCTAGATTGAAGATGATGTTAGTTGGTGAATGGTAGATGGGTCTTCATATCCAAACTAAACAAAGAAGTATTCAATGCTTGAGTCATGCCCCCCCCCACACACACACACAGAAAAAGCAGTAGAGAACATATTATAAATGTAAACAATCAATCACTGTCTAAGGTATTTGAGTTGGACATTCCAATATTGTAGAAATTTTAATAATAATAACAATAAGTTGCTTTATTCCAAAACAGCACTTATGTTACACTGTGGAATTCTCAGCAGTCCGTTCAATATTCCATCTGATGATTTACTCGACAGTAGCAAAAACAAAAATTGAAATAAAAATAATACAGGATTGATAATAAACAGCTCTCTTGGTATTAGCAATGACAATAATTTAAAACAATTAGTTCACTTGATGAATTTAGACAAAGCAATAAGGAAACTTAATTTGTCCAAACCATGTAATGTATTTGCGCAACACATTTCGAACAATCTGATCACAAACACGGACTTGTCATAGGAATATGCATATGAAATTAGTTGAGAGTTAAGAGGTGAGAAAATAGACTACTTTCAAGTTAAGGTGAAGTTAAAAGGACATATTGAAGGTCAAAATAACAATGAGGATCACTAAACCAAATGACAGACATAATAGTACATCTACACTGACTGGTATCAAAACAAAGTTTACCAAAGAATGTGGTTTAGTGTGATGACGAATTGTTGCTTTGCCCATATAAAGGTGATTTGAACTTTCTAATTGCTAGCTACGACTTCCCCAAACACGTTCTACTGATAGATTTAAAAGACGTGTTAACATTAATTTTATGTCCTGTCTCTATAATGTGTTTCGCAATAGAAGAGTGAGGTCTCCTGTTCTCCCCATTAATGGATTCTGGGAATCCCGTTTACTTCTGAAGCCAAACCTTACTTGGAGAGATGGATGAATCCTCCCTATGTATGTCTGTGTATCCACACGTACATTCAAATAGGTAAATACATTGGGATGTTACATCATTTTTCGCATATTCTAAGGGTTTAGTTGGATATATCGGCTTCACATTCTGAATTATTACGATATTAGCTGCATAAAAAGTCTTTTTAACCACGGTGCCAAGTTCTATGTTGAATCCAGACAGACAAACAGACTGTCGCACAGAACACGCGTGGGTGGAATAAGGTAACGCTGAGTTTCTGTACTCGGTTGTACGAGCGAGCATATAATCTTCCATAATGACTTCTAATGCTACCTGATGAGATGCAGTGGTGGGAGAGATGAGAATAGAGTAGGAGAGAATAGTGTTGAAAGTCAGACATTATGGATTCAAACCATTTCTTGCTTTAGTTCAGTTGTTTGTCTATTGACTGCAGTAATAGTGGCACATTAGTTACTTGTCCGACTGACAACCTTTAACACCCTCCTCCTCAATATGACACAGTCCTTTTTGAGTAGCCCATGGAAAACTAAGCGGGGAGGAGCAATAAGGAACAATAGGTGAGATGCAAGAGTTAACAAACTGTATAAATGGAGGTTGGATGGTGCCTACGTGATTGTCTTAACTTCCTAATGTATAAGGTTAGTTGGAACATATTCTTAGAAATCAACAAGAACTATTCCGTGGTATTTTATGCTAGACAGACATAGTTTCTATTTCAGTGGCCTCTATACTACGCTACAAAAATCATGTGAACGGACCATTTCTCATAGATCACGTTTACACACCTAAAGGTAAAGTTAATTGCACGTGAATTCACTATTGTTTTATTGAACCGATGACATTTCGACTAGCAAATTATCACACTCATAATCACATCAAGGTCATATCTCAACGCCCCAAAAAACGGCCTAAAATGGAAATATACTCTTCCGACATACACACACACTACAGGAAAAGTACTATTTTTAAAATAACCCAACCAACTGCTGAAATACACAAATACTGTGTTGTATAAATTAACTACATAAAAAAAGGGGATGGAAAATACGAATCCTTCCCCATACTTTTACTCATGTTTTTTTTTCATATTATAAAAGGCTTTTTGAGACATACTACTGTCCAACTACTGGGTCGAAAACAGTCTATCACCCTGGGCATTATTACTAGTCAATTTAAGTAAACAGAAGAAGAGGTGGAGAAGGAATCGATCAGCTAGACACGCACACACACATGCACATACACACAAAGCGAGTAGGCTTATTGTCTAACAAATTATAACGCAAATACACATACATAGTTGTATTGTATGCTCACGCTTATCTATTAGTTATGCACTGGAAAAAGTCAAGCTGGCGCGACATATGTTTACAATAATTTTTTTTTCCCGTTGGTTAAGTTAAAATAGTACCGATTATATTCATGTTGTTGTTGTTGTT